ATAAAACCCACTTATAGCAAAACTCGTTAATCCTTTAAATTATAAATAGCTTTATCAATTAAATTATAAAATTTTTGCATTCAAAATTGAAAACAAAAACTATGAAATAAACTATCATTAAATTTCTCCTGTGCTTATGCTTGTTTCTTCATATGCATAATTTCAATTATTTCTTTACTTTATTTTCATGTATAATTTGTCTATTTATCATTTGTTTATTTTTTCATACATAGTGAAAGTAATAATTATACCTTTACTTATTTATTTCTATTGAAATGTATTTTTTTAATAATTAAATAATCCTTAACTGAGATAATCCAATTAAATAATTAGCATTAAAAAATAATCTTCAATTAAAATATAAGTTAATTTAGCTCTTGCTTAAATTTTATCCATTTTTTTTCAATAGTCAGTGATTATTGTCTATTTCTTGTAAAGAAAATAATTAGTAGTATATTATTCACAGCGGTTAAATCTTTTCAATATTAGCTTTTCACATTAGTTGTTTATTATGTGAGTCTGTGTATTTAAAGAGAAACACTTAGAATAGTTGATTTGCATTTCGAATATCCAAAGGAAATTAAACGCTCAGCAAAATGTTTTCTCTAGAACGACCATGAATCATCGCCATAATACAATAAGAAATTTCTAGAATGATATCTGTCTATATTGCATTATTTTTTTAAGTTTATTAACCTTATAAAATATTTTATATTTTTACTTAAAATCATATTTCAAGTTAACTACTTGTAACTTGCTAATTTTCATTTTTTAAAGGCATTATTTTGAGTTGTACGCATAGTTAGTATACACAACAATATAGTTGCCAAAAAATTGGAATGTACTTGTCAAGTGGTCACTAGGCGCGTGCCTGAAGCACCGAAACTGTACATGAGATTTGTTTTTGAAGCGTTCAAGTGACCGGTTTATATTTACAATTGATCAACCCAAATATTTATTTTGATTGCCTTGGTCCATTTAGAAAATAAAATCATAGATATAGCGAACGTAAAAATAGAGAGCGAATTTTTTTTTCGCGAGGTCCGATCGCGAAAAATATACTCACTGCTCTAGTGAAAAAATATCTGAAATCTCTTACAAATTTTAAATTGAATGTAAGTTTAATAAATTTACAAAATATATACAATTCTCTACTGAAAAATATCTGAAACCTGATATAAATTTTAAATTAAATGTAAGTTTAACAAATTTATTTGACATATTTAATTCATCTAAATCCTATAAGAAATAATACTCAAAATTTTGTTTTAGTTCTTTCTTCAAATTACTATAATAACATTACTGCTATGTCTCAACTACCAGGTGGATATAGTTTGGCAGAAAACTAAAGTTAAGCAATTTTGTTACTGTTAATACTTGGATGGTTGACAAATTTTTGTTTATTAAATACAGAAATACCCGCATAGTCCGGTTTCGATCAGTTACGATTCACGATGCAAAAATTTCATAACAAACTACATTTTAATTAAACAAAAATAAATTCTAGAAAATAGCACATTTAAAATCGCAAAAAATTAATGTCAGATCAATCCTGTTTGTTTTTCTACATATACCCATTCTTCGTAGAAACTTTTTATGTCCAAAGGGAGATCGTGGACCAAAAAGTTTGAGAATCACTGCTATATAGTATTGTATCTATAATTATTTTATGAATAATAAATACTACACTAGTATTGATTTTCAATAATTAATTATATTAGATCTTAAAGTTTCACATAGTTCTTTCAATATACAAATGTAATACATTATTTTTACTACAAATTTTAATCCTTTAAAAAATGTAAATATTTTTGGATAAAGCTGTAATACAATCGTGATCTTTAATAGTTTATGTTCAAACTTCTGTTCTATAAAAAAAAATAATTGAATAAAAGAAAACAATTTGATTTTTGTATTTGCGTGCAATGAAATATTAATATTTGAAACGCTAAAATATTTATAAATTAATGGTGGTTTTCCACGAAATGTGGAAAGAGCCGAAGGAAATGCCATTTACAATGACATAATTGTTGCATATGGGAAGAATCACATGTGTTCTATAGAGAGACGGACGCTCCAACATTTCGATCCGAACTATTTTAGTCGACGAGTTTAAAAAAACTGCCAGTCCAGCCGTGCTTCTAGATTCCTGAGATCCCGAACAAAATCCAATAGCGTCGAGTCCCAAAGTGTCAGAACTCGCTTCATTTGCATGTGGGGAATACATAGTAGTCACAGGGGAAGTAGTTGAGTAGCCATCAGACATATCCAATTATGTGGTCAACTTAATTCGTCATCCGAACCACTTTAATAGGCCTCGATGCACGACTGCTGTATCCATTAAAACATCCCAGTACAGATGATTAAGTGCCTTCAATTCTTCCTACAAGAGCCTCTCAGCTTGAGGGTTCATTTATTTTGATTAGAACATCGTCTCACTAAATTTACAAATTAACCGAGTTCTCAAAATACATTTGTAACCATGTTTAGATCAATTAATGAATTATGTTATTAAACTGTTTATGAGTAGTTTATACAGACGTTTACGATACATAAATTTATTTCTCGCCTGGTTACATAAATACTATTTTTGCGAAAGAATATTTAATGACACATTAGTAGTTAAATCGAGCTCTAATAGGAATACACCATAATTGAATGGTATTATTATGGCGTAAGTGATTTACGAGTATCGTAGAGGCATAAAATTGTGAGCGCGGAATTGAACAATTTTATGATTTGCCTTACGACAACTACATCCGTGCATTTATTCAAGAATAAGTTCCACCGAACACCCACGATGCACCAGCACTTTATGACCGCAAATTATGCACGCCTCACTTCCTCTGAGAAGTTTAAATTTCAGTTGGAAATCTCTCATAGTTTATTTGTTTTTTACTATATTAAGATAAAACGCTTGAAATCTCAAATGGTTTCAGTACATGTTCTTCTATTTGATCAGAAGACATTGAACGAAAGCGATACGATTTGCGATTTATTTTTGTTGTTGTTCTCTCTCTCCGATAGAATTGCGTAATTGGCGGAGTTTTCCACATGAATATATAAATAAGGCAGAGGCGGCGGCCGTGGCCCTGGGAAATTCAAGTATTTTGGGCGCTCCCTGAGGCTCTCAGGTGTCAGGAAGCGCAAATACAAAAAAATATTATATATATATATAAAAAAAAAATCCTGCTGCTCAGTTCCTGCACGTCCGTTATGGGATCCGGTGATTTTTTTTTCGATTCAAAGGCTCAGAGGTGTCGAAAATTAGTCAGCAGTCTTATTGAATTGATAAGGTGTGTAATCATGTGGGATCAGCCGATGTGTCTAGAAAATTTCCGCTTATCTGCGGAATTTTCGACTACACCAGTGCAACTTGTCACGTATACCACCTACGCCGGTATTATGCAATTGCAGGTGTAATCACGTAGACAATATTCGCACGATCGTTTACGGTGCGATTCGTCGTATTCGATTCTTCGTATGAATGAAATCGGTGTGTTGTTGCGCAAGAACTGAGCGAGCGTTCGTTAAATTCGGGCGGAAACGGTGGAAATTGACGAAAATGATGAGCAAGGTCGGGCCAATGTCAATTTACGATTAGACGCTAAATGCACACTTTTAAAAAGAGACAAAAAAAACGTTAATAAAAGGACGCCGTTTCCGTTTGTTGCATTGTTGCTTCGCACGAAATTATGTGGGCCTGTTATCAAATTGAAAGAATCTTACACGTTTTCCTTTTCGAACTTTGTTAAAACTTAGTTTTGACACAACAATTTTGAATATAAAATTATCGAAAAATACATTTCATAACAAAATATTAATTGATTATTTTCTTACAAAATACTTTTACAATTTCAAGTAAAGAATTTCTGCAAAACCTTTAAATCCTAGAATGTTCAATTTAATAAATAAATTAATAATTTGTATTCAAATTATCTATAAATACAGTCGATTCCGCTTAATCGAGACAGCCGTATATTAGGGACAAATCCTAAAGAACGGAAACAAAACCGATTAAATGGAAATTCATATAATTGGACCAACCCCTTAATCGGGACAAATGTACTAGTCCCGATGTGTCCCGATTAAGCGTAATTGTATGTATATTAATAATCAATATCTAAATTGAGTATAAAATGTAATAAATACAAATATAGTACTGAGTATCTCAAAATTAGTCATTTGAAGTGTGTATTTACAGATAACAAATGTATTTAATAATATTATTCTTGAAATTAATTTTATAATAATTTAAATGAAGTTACTAAAAAAATCTTCAACGTTTGTTTGCTTGCATTAACTATTAAATTAACTATTTGCACAATTACATTTATACATTTATCACAGCTTATGCCTCAAGGGATCAGCTACAATTAGCATATTTACATTTCGTTGTGTCATTGTTGATTCTCGCGAATTACGTAAATAAAAAGTAAAGACATTATTCTAAATTTGCACATATAAAATTATCCGTAGTCCTTATTACACAACAATAAAACTTTGATTCATTATAATAAATTTGATTCAACAAATAAATGCATTATTTTAAATGTATTACCATAATCATCGATTTTGCAATTTTTACAATAATTTGAAAATTTCTTATATATAATCAATTGTAATAACTGAGGTTATTTCAAGTGTTTTTTTCAAAAACATTATTCTAATTAGATTATTTACATTTATAAATTTGAAACTGACAATTTTTTTACATGGGCAAATAAATGCATTATTTTATTATCATAATCATTGATTTTGCATTTTTTACAATAATTTGAAAATTATGTAATTTGTATAAATAAATCATTATTTTAAATTTTACAAGCTAAGTTTCATTAGCCAATTTGCCGCTTGACGCCTAAAGATTACTAAAGCTTATTTTAAGATAGGGACAACTATATAGATTTGTGGCTCAAAAGTAAATAAATGTAATTGTTGTAGTTAGTAGTTAACTTTGGTTTAACTATTAAATAGTCATCAAAAGAAAACTAATTGGATTTCCATCTTAATAGTGCAATTTTTATTGGATTTTAAAATAGATTGCTTATATTGTTCGTGTGTAAAGCTACTGGCGATTCGTATTCCAATGAATAAACATCCTTCAATAAACGATTTCTGCTATGCAATCAGGAAATCTAAAAAAAGTCAATTTTATTGATACATCAATATTTGATAACTAAAACAGTATGGTGACACATGTTATCGAATGGAGTGTTTCGTCCTTGGGCGAAAATGCAGTTCCGATAAAAAAAATCAAATAGGATATCGTTCTAGAAAGTCTCCTGAGGAAAGAGATAAATCGTATGTAAGGAAATGGAGGATTCCCAAATGTACATTTTGTAGAGTTTGCGGAATCTGATGGAAAGCCAAAAAACGTGTGTCGTTTCCGCGGTGAAAATTTTCCGAATGTATTTATAACGCCGGCAAACAGATGCGGTCCTAGGTAAGTGTTATATCATTTTGGCAAGGCGAACTATTGGCATCGAAATTATTTATTGTTGGTTTTTTAGAGTGCGAGCTGATCACAGATGGCGGTCGCGCAACTAGGTTGGCAGAATTGATTATATTTCTCGCGATTGCGTAAGTTTTCATTTTTGCGCGAAACGAAAACGCGAAAATTACTGTCTGTAAGCAGACGGGAGTGCGTTTTAATTATAGAATGCGATCTTCTGCCGACTTCTGCTTGGCAGATGCACAGGGGGGAAACACAAGCAGGAACACACAGGCCATCGAAATTTTAAATTGGATAATATAATCACGGAGGACGAAAATAAAACTGGGCGTCGGGACGGGCATCCAGCCAGGACGCTGCCTGTGCCGTTCTGGCCAATTCTACTTGGAAATAACGAATAGTTCTGCTATATCGTTCTGCTAAGGGTGTCTTTCACTAAGCTCTCACTCACCTGTATTCTCTCCAGGAGAGGGTAGAGTACCAAAGGGCGAACATTCTGGTTTCGGTCGGTCGTGGACGGTGAACGCACAAGTCGATCAACTTTATGAATAAGTATGAATGATTTCGTCGGCGAATGATTCAGACTGACTCCTCGCTGCCGGCACCTCTGAAATTCCACCCTACGCACACGGAAAATAAATATTTCAGGATCTTATATAACGTCGAAAAACAAAAATACTCCATCGGGAGAGGAGACCTGGTTGAGGGAGAATGCAAAACCCTGGTGCAGCCTTACTTACTTCTTCCTCAAGACACTGCTAGTGCTAACACTTCCAGCTCGACCTAAATTCTGGTATTTGTGTCAGTAGGGAAAATTGATACAGATTTTCCCCTTCGCAACCCTTAATATAGCAGAGCGCGCAAGGGCGATCCTTATTCAAACCGCGCAACAAACGCACGCATCCACCACGTTTTGCCGACAACTTCTGCAACCACACTAACACTCACTACATAACAAGGATTACCTCCTACCTACTTTCTTCTACAAAGAAGATTCAACAAGTTTTAACAATAATATAAACCAACAATGACTTATATAGTTTCAGCCAATTTGATATGGTAACAATTTTTAAAAAGCAATATCAGAATTAACATCAACAAACAACTATAATTAAAGTATTAACAAAAATTTCGTCTTTAAAATATGAATTATAATCTTAGCAAATTTAATAGTAATAACAAAGAAAAATATATCGTTAAAGGAAAAACAATTAAAGCTTTTAATAGTATAATATATAAGTTATATATATATTGTTAAAAATTATTTAAATGATTAATAAGGTTAAACTAATTAATAAATGAAGTTTTTTATGTGTTCATGTGTAAAAAAATCGATATTTTTCAAAAACATTATTGACATTGAAAAGATTATTGAAATTTATAAATTAGCTTGAAGACTGTCAAACTTTTTATATGACTTATAAATACTTACATGAAACAATTTTAGGTAAAACGCGAATAGTTTTATCTAATTGCTCTATATTGCATACATGGTACGTATATGGAAATGAAATACATTCATTAAAATTAACAGACAATTATTATTCAGTATTTTTCTAATTGGGTTAATTGCTCCGACAACTTCCCTCCTGATTGTAATCCATTTTGGAATGTGTTGAGTTTGTATTTTTGACCCCATGGAATGAATATTTTCATTGCTTCAAAAGCTTTAAATCATATAATAAATAAATTAGATAAAAAAGTTTGAACTAATTAATAACCGAGATTTTCTTAAAAAACAAGATTATTTGAAAACATTATTCTAATTTTTAAATTTATGAATACGTAACAAGAAATTTTCTATTGCTCAACTTTTGAATCCACAGTTGTTAATTATTGACTGAGATATGATGTTTTTTTAATATTTTTTTACGATTTTTTTTTATCTAAAACGCTAATGGTGCTAATTACGCATGGTAATTATATGTAAACCAAATACATTAATTAAAATTACTAATTTTGTGGTATATTTTTCAATTGTTCAACATTTGAATCCACGGTTGTTAATTATTGACTGAGATATGATGATTTTTTCACGAAATTCTTTTTATGTAAAACGCTAATGGTGTTATCTAATTACGCATGGTAATTATATGTAAACCAAATACATTAATTAAAATGATTAATTTTGTGGTATATTTTTTTCAAATATTTTCTTTTGGAAAATACTATTCTAATTACATTTTCAGTTTTACATAACAAGTGGAAAATGATTTGACTTATTATATAATTTCTGGTTTAATTAGAAAATAGTCCTTCTGGATGGAAATCATAAAAAATAATTTATTGAATAAATATAATATGATTACTACTAACAGAATATTTACAGAGTATTAAAAAAATAGATATACAGTGGAACCTCGCTTAACGAGCAAAATTAATTGTAAGAAAAATTACTCGTTTAACGAGCGACTTTTTGTATAAAGAGTGACGATGAGAAGGGAAGTCTGCTACAAAATTTTTAAAACTTGTGTACACATATTATGTGCATTTTTTAATATGTTTCACTATATGAGTAAATATTCGGAAATTTTGGAACGGATTAAACTCGTTAAGCGAGGTTCAACTGTATTCTAGTTATTATCTTATGTAAAACATTGATAACAATGAAAATCGTTATAGGAAAAATAAACATTTGATCTCATACAAAACTATTTTTATTTGCTTCCTATTTTTACAGTTACTACATTTATATACAATCTCAATGTTATTGCACGTTAACAGATATGGGAGAATAGAATTCACAACAGACAATTATTATTATTATTATTCAGTATTTTACTAATTGGGTTCATTGCTCCTACAACCTCCCTCCGGATTGTATTGGAATCCATTTTGGAATGTGTTGAGTTTGTATTTTTGGCCCCATGGAATGAATATTCTATGATTAATCGCTTCTCGTTTCACTACGGAAATCAATGAACAGAATTTGCTCGACTTTAATCAGAAAAAAAAAAGAAAGAAAAGAAAATAAACAAAAAAAGAAATTATAGAGAAACGAACAATTATAATGATTAATCAGAAAACAAAAATAATTACATAACGCAAATTTAATGTTGCTTCTTAGGCGCTTGAACGATGAGCAATATAGGAAAAAAAAACAAGGATCAGATCAGAAATATAAACAGAACCTGCGTTTGGAAGTAATTATGGGACGAAGCAAAATTAAACTTTCATCATATGCATATATATATGTTAGGCAAATTGTTGTTAACGTGTATATTGCTGATGTGTGTCATTTACAACCTCAGAGTTTTCATGAAACAATAGCAAAATCGCTATTGGGTCACAAATGTTTTCTACACAAAAGTGATTTGTACTATTATGTTTGTAAGTGAAATGGATTTCAATCATAAGTTGTAGCGATTGCAGGTCGATAATCCAAAGCATCTCCCGTCTTGTGAATTATTGCTATTGTAGAGATGTCCCGAAGTTGCACGACCTGCAATCGCCGATGATACGAACTAAGTACTAATAATTTATATTAATATACTCATTTAAAAATAGATTCGAAATCATAAAAAAAATATTTATGTATTATATATAATGTAGTTAATTATGATATGCATCACAGTTGCTAAATTAAAAATTAAGTCCATGTACTAATACTAATGAAAGTATTTTCTAAGGGTGAAGGTGGAAGGAAATACTTAAAATGTTAAAGCTTTATATACTGAAGAATGTATAGAAATTAGCCTTTGGATATTTACAACTTGGTGTGTTTCACCGTGTCCGTCCAGTAGTTTTGAATGGTCATTGCTTCCAAACTGTTCAAAAATGAATCGTTATCTAAGCTATACATCTCCTCCGAATTATCCTACAACAAAAAATTATTAAATTAACATCTTCGATTTTCAATCAATATAACTACAATTAAATATAATAACACATTCAAAAATCTCGATAATCTTGATTAGTTTCATAGTAAAAATTTTAAATTACAGGTGGAAATGCAATTACTCTTTAGTTTTTTATATGTTACATTTCCAAATATTTATTATCTTTGAATAATGAAAAATAAAATTGTGAATTAAAATATCCTAAGATAAAAAACCCCAACTTTATCTGCCTCAGAAAGCAGAAGAAATTCTATATGCTGTGATATTCCATTTTATTGCAACTTTTATGTGTTAAAAATGTTTTTTTTTTAAGAAATTACAAATTCACTTATTAATGACTTTTTAAATTTGTTTTATCAAAAGAATCAAATTTTGTAATATAAAAAAAGAGCTTATAATGTAGAAACCTATGGTAGAGAATAAATTTGATTATAATTCTTACTCGAACTGAATTGTCATCAATATATCCACTGGAATCAAGATTACTGCTGCGGTCACTAAGTACCTGGGGCCTGTTTAGGCCTCTGTTTCTGTACAGAAGAAACGAAATCAATAGGATCAGCCCAACAAGAGTTACACAGCCCAAAGTGATGCCTGTGATTCCAGCTCCAGTCAGAGTTCCAGTTGTCTCAGTCAGCTCAATGCCAATTCTCTCTGAAGTTACTATCACTGTTTCATTACTACTATTGCCCACTTCGAAGCCCACATCTGTCACATTCAGATATGTGAAGTTCTGTTGCAGACTATTATTTGGTTGTATCACAGATAAATCTTGTTGAGTGTAATTTCTGGCAGGTTGTGTGGCCGGATTCTCTGTCACTGCTTTGCCATTTTCACTGCCTGATGTCTGCAGTGCTGCAGTGGTGGCCACTACATCATCACAAGCACAGTCTAGAACAAAAACCGAAAAAAAAAGCAATAAGCAATTATCTATGGACAAGAGGGGACAACATTACTCACATATAATGTTCACTGTGATTGTTATCCAAAACCAATGCATATACCAGTATAGTATCATGACGCCATCCGAGAATCAGCCTGCACAACAATACAAATGTTTACTGGAACAAAAACACAACAGATTATTTACATAAACAATGTTTTCAATATCAGCTTGACACAGCCGAAGGAGGTTGGAGCACTGCAGTCTTCCTGTGCTCTTTACACTCTCTCTGATTTGGTATTGTATAATTTTTGGTTTTGCACTCGAAACGCGAATTAGAAAGCGGAATGCAAATTAGTTTATTTCACTTTGTCAAGCTGATTATTAAATAGACTTAATAAAAGACTAATTTGTTGACACCAAATGTCAGCAAGTTCGTACATAGCTTCGGAAGATGGAGCCACCGATGTTCTTGTAAGCGAATTGTTAAATTCTTACCTCTTCCCGTAGCTTCGAGATCGGTATTTAATGCCGTTACGCGTGCAAACTTCCACCTATCTGGAAATAACTGCAGCTTAATTGGATCATCTTAATTCAATTATGCTTGCAGCTATGTGAACTTGGTTTAGATGAGATTAGGTCTAATTATAACGAGCTCAGGGTCGAATTGAGCCAATGCTAAAATTGTTTCCAAGAAATAAACCTATATGCAATAATGCTCTTTAATCAGAAGACATAAAGGGAACTTTCTTACATTGCTAAATTATTAATTTTGCAATACTTTCTTTTCCAGCAATTTCTTATGTAATAAGAGCCTACCTATAAACTATTAAAGAGAATAATAGGACAGAGCTATTGTAGAGATAATAATGAAAGCATTATTGATTTCATTGAATTTTAATAAGGATTCGACTACAATATATCATGTTTTCATTGCAATTACTATGCCAACATCTTAGTTTACCTTAAACTAAAAACAAATCGCCTTGTAATCAAGCTACCACTCATTTCTTCGTTACTTATACAGGATGCCCAGGAACCGTATACGAACGTAGATTTAATAATTGAATATTACGAATCAATTTATAGATTACCTAATTTGTATGCGACAAGGCGTGTATCCATTATACCAGTAACGGGCATAAATTAAATAAAAACAGGAAACTCTTATGCAAAAGACCTACTTTTTTTTCTTTAAATAATGAAAACCATTTTTAGAAGTTTTAACAAATTTTGATAAGCATTAGTGTTATTTTTATATGTTGTAAAAGTGTCCTTGATTGAGACATCTAGAGCTGATTGACGGAATTTAAATACAATGGCACTATAGAAGTTCAGAGTAAGTTCCAATTTGCAATTACATAAAGGCAGCTGATATGATATAATCGCGTTACCTTATATCGGAAATAAACAATGATATCGGCGAGCCATTATTTCCTATAAATATTTTTTTTTATTTATCTCTGAATGCCGGTAAGAAAACGAGAGAAATAGCAATATTACAAAGGAAAAACCGTTGACGGCATTCGCTAGAAATTCAAATGTGTCACGTAACCGAGGATTATTGGTCTTTTGTTTATTGCAGTCACGAAGAGTCCCCCTCGTGGAATCACTATTTTTGGTAAAGCGACGGCATAATACGTTCGCTTACATTATGCAATCAACGAAAGTGTGTCCGTTGGTTACGTACAAATTTAATACAAAAAGTAGAGAAAGAATAAAAAAAATAGAGATCGAGAAAAAACATAAGAGAGAAAGATCGAGAATTCGTTGCTTGTTAACGGCATACATGAAGTTCCTCTTCCTGGAACGCTCCGATTGATAAACAGTATCACAATATGAAGCCTAGTAATCTTTCGGTTTCCGGATAAAATTCCTGGGTCATTTGGAACCATTCGGTTACTCTGAAGGAATAGATTTCGCTTTTTTTCAGCGATACTTTTTGCTCGTTTAGCATTTAAATTACGTAATAATTAAGTAATAAGTCTCATTATACAATTAGTAGATGCATTCATTGAGCTATTATGTCCTTATGAATGATTCATTCCAGTTTCAAAGTTTATAGTGTACTGTTTCAAAACCATGAACTAATTTGAACAAATCAATACTAATATTATTTTGAATTAATCGTTAGTTGAAATTTTTTTTGTAAATTACTTTCTAAACGTTCATTTGCATATGGAAATTAAAACTAAATGGCCATGAATAAATCATTTACCATTGTTATTTCTAATTTACGTATTTAAATGGAAACAATATTAGTTTTAGTTTACAGCAATAATAAAATAAAGATAAAAACATAGAATGTAATTTACAACAAATTATAACATTCATGTGATTCATAATTTGTTATGCGATATTAAAGGCAATTATTTTTAGTTTACTCATTTTTATTAGTATCGTGTATTTAGCGAGATGATGAACTTACCCAATTCGTTTCGATTAATCTGTTTCGAAGCAATTGTTGCTGTGAACGTCAATAACCAGTTGCAAATGATCAATTATCGCCAATTCGATGCATTGATTGCGAACAATTGGATGCAATTGTATAAGAAAAGGCGCTGCGCAATGTAAATATTTATGATAAACATTTGATAATAGCGTTCTCCGAAGGATGCACTTTTGTCGCAACAAAGTCAAGGCACTTTGGTGAGGCAATCGCAGTTTGGTCTTGAAGTGGCAATTACACAATTCGCAATATATGGAATTGAACAGCATTACCTTCATATTTAGAAAATGAAATCGTAGTGCAAACAAATAGTTTTATAAACTACACAGACAAATTAAGAGTTAATTGATAAATTATAGATTTTTGTTAATTTTATGAAGTTTGTTTTTGATCGATAAATATAAGATATGTAATTTTTTAATCAATATTTTATTAGCAAAAGTATAGTTAAAAATCTCAATTATTTAAGAGTGTTGACTTATCCTTAATGGCTTTTATATTAAATTTATTATTATTATTTAAAATGATTGCTATATAAACTTGACTAAGGTATGCAGTATACAAAATGTAATTTTTATATTAAAATAAATTTATATACCGTATTACTACATGAAGTATAAGGATCAATGACTTAAGAAATTCGTTTTTAATGTGCAATTTATTTTTTTTTAATCGATTTTAATTCTCACTGCAATTAATTGATCCTGAAAGTGGTATAAAAAGGAGTATATATAGTATAGTAGAAAGAAGGATATAACGAAAAAAAGGATCAGTGTGTTTCTGGCTGCGTGTCCTTCCGTTTGGTGGCAATGATGGGTGTGTGTGAGATGTGTGTGTGTGCGTCTTTCTCTGTTCTTTTCTTTTTGAAGAATTGTAGATTTGCGCATTGATTGGAATGTTGAAAGAGCGTGTAGCTTTTATACTGTTGTGTAAACTCGGCCGCAAGTGGGGGCTTCGTTGGTTGTCTGGTTGTTGGTTTCACATTATTTGAGTGTATGGTCTTGGGTTCTGTTGTGTGGTCGCATAACTGGTTTATTTTCATAAAACCCCGGGTTATGGCATGGTCTAAAATGCTGGCGCACGAGAAGATATTCAATGAGACATAAATAATTCATTAAAACTGCCAAAAGGTAAGACACAGCTGAGAGGTACTTGCAATTAACCAAAAATCATCTCTTCCTGCCTCTCTATTTCATTACGTTTTTCTCTCTTTCCCTCTCACAATTGATATACAACGTACTCACATCCCAGTTCCCACATAGAAAGTGCATTTTCTTGTAATTACCATCCACTTACAATCCATCCAGTTCTAGTTTTCCCCCTTTTTTTTTCTATATTCCACCCAGTTATTTTCCCTTCATTCTCTATGCATGCACATACATAACTACACACATACACTTCATCTCATTTGCTTCACTTTTATTTCTATTCTATTTTTTTTTACTTTTTCCTCTTGCCATTAACTTGCTACATAATTCTAGCTCAAGGTTAATCTTTATTTATTGTAAATGGACACATGTTACCTTCTTAGTTGATCTTTCTTATTATCACAGACACAATAATAGAAGCCTCAGCATTTGAGGGGGCGGTTTCACCCATGAAGCCAGCTACATCGAAGCTCTGTATACAGTTCACCCATCATTCCCAGTTCACTATCTACTAACTCACACCACTGGAAAGCATCTTCACCTATAACACTGGTCAGTGAAGCATTATGCTGAAACTGGGAGCACACCACCATGTTACCTCGACTGATGCTAGTGAATTGTTATTTACTGATCACCACTTGTTTTAGGCATACGAGATGTCCCAAGGGCCCATCGAAGAGAAATTGTTTTATTATTTTACTACATAAATTTGGTGAGTTTTTTTTTTAAATAAAAATTCATTATATCTACTTACGGAGTCCTTTTTGAGATCAAACAGAGTGTGTGTGTGTCTGAATATATGAACAAATAAACACTGAACTAAATCATAATTGAAATACTGCACTTGCAATTACCATTTGCAATTTATTTATTTTGCTGTGCAAATGTTGATTGTAAACTCCATTTGTTCAATACACATTTTTAGTGGAATCATTACTCTGATGTTCATTAAAACTCAATTCATATAGACAAAATTTCATTTATCAAATAGGAAATAATATTAATTTAAAACAATAGTTATTTCATATTGATTTACATTTATATTTGCAAAATATGAAGTAATGATGCAAACAAGTCATAATTATATAAGTAGCTATTTAAATATCTTAATCTAAGCTCCAATAATAAATAATTTACAATATTGCAAAGAACTTTGAAACAAATTAATAATTTGCAAAGTTAGAATCACACTCTTATAGAACTTAACAAGTGTTTATGGATTCACATAATATACACGTTTATAAGAGAGAAAGTTTCTAGTAAATACAATTACCAAAATTACTGCTAATTACTAAAAATTGCGAAAATATTCATTAAAATATAATAACAAAATGATTTGATTGTTATTATAAGAACTTAGGAAAGTAAAACAACGTTTGTATTCGAAATTGTTAAAATAACAATCCAAGAAGAGGAAAATATTAAAATTCATTTACAGTTAGTACAGTTTTATACCCGAATAAATAAAGGAGAAAAAAATTGTAAAAAAAAAACTGTATTATTCAATAAATAAAAAAAACAAATACGTAATCCAATTTGCTTTTTCGCGTTTTGAAACAATTGATAATTCGATTTTACATTCGAGTCTTTTGTTTGATATTTATTGATATGTTGTTTCAAATGTACGTATTGAGCCGTCAGCGCCTAATTAGCTTTAGTTTTTTTTAATTGTCATAATTCGTGTCCAATAAATATCAGCACGAGTGATTCAATTATTTAGTGCTTTTTTTGCATAGGAAAAATTTACGTTCGTTTTTACTACCGTTTAATTCACTTACTCTTTTATAAAGCTGGTTATAATTTAAAGATAAAACATTTTTGTTTGTTCTTAAACAAGATATAAATTAGTTTAAACGATAAACATGTTTATTGTAATATTTGAGAGAAGAAAAAAAAAATGAGTCAACATTGTTTAATCGATAGAAAATTATATAATAATACTAATTGTATTTTATTTAGACTATTGATTTTAAGTAAATATGCGATTTTTTAATCAAAAAATTTGTTATGATTAATTCGAATTCGGTTTCAAAAAACTAAATAACCTTTCAAATTTATTGATTATCTAATGTTGAGAGATTTCAAAATATACAAGAAGCGTAACTTTTTTTTTCTATTACAAGAATGTCACGTTAATATTTGGATGTAAATAATAACCTTTTCCATTGTCTTTTTACATTCACGGTTGAACTAGAACAGCACGTTACAAAATAACAAAATAGCAAAAACATGGTATTGTTTATAATCCGCTGATAATATACTTTTATTGATATTTAAGTATAGTTTTCGTAACGTCCAATTGTTGGATTAAAGGCCGTAATTTTAGGAAAAAAACAAAGAGTGTAATCTAATTAACTCGAATTAAAGGCTTATTTATCTGGTTAAGTTTCTTAGATAAGATCATACCATGATTCAAATGAATTATTTCTTTTTAATTGAGTTAAGCAATTGCAAAAAAAAATATACAAATACTACAAATTGTGTATTTGCATTACTTGTAAAATTATTGATAATGAAAGTTCGTTAGACGAGAAATGTCGTGTACGTTCTAGATATGGGAATGTTTTTGCATACAATTAAACAAAAATACAGCTACTACAAGGTTACGGTTGTGGACAATTTCATTTACTAGCTAGATATTCATGGGGCCTTTAACCATCTTAGCTAATCAATGGATATAAATAATATTTTTACGATTGTAGGTTTCGCTACTGGTGATAACGCACAATCAATTGAATAGATTTGACGTGGAAATATCAATACACATGTTGGTGCTTATTTTTTTTTATTACTCATTATATACGTTTTCCATCGCATTTGGCGTATTTTTTATACTTTATAGAAAATTCAATGTCAACAGTTTATTAAGCGCAGCAATTACATGCAATTCTCTTCCATGCAATTACAATATATTATTTGCTCCTTTTAAATGTAATTTTCGAGACTAATGTGTCATTGTCATATATGTTGTTTATAACAGTTTTGATGATTTTACATCGAGAATGAATGTTATAACTAGTTCTGTTCCGTTGATACGAATCAGCTATCTCGAAGCAAGCGCAAGTATCGCCCAATGAGCGGCCCGGAATTTATGATTTTGGCTTTGTATCTAACTACCGTTGAAACCCATGCTTTAGAGTAGTATGGGATCCGCCAAAGGCAAGTGTTTTATATAAATATATTTAGTTTTGTTTTTTATATTCGTTGCGCTTATGTTGTCTGCCACCACGTTTTTTCCAAACCAATTAGCTCATCAGTGAATCATGTCTGTAAGGCTATTTATTTATTTAACAGTCGCTTATCGAATCCAATACTAAATATACCGATAAACAAATCGAAATTTGGTATTTTTTTAGTTGCTTATGTTTTATACAACTTTTAATCATACACAATTGTGGTTTTAGCTTAAAAATCCCAATTATAAAATGAAAACTTCAACATTTATATTATTTCAAATTACCTAAGCTTATTCAATATTCATTGCTACGGATTAGATGTTTACTTTGGCAAGTTATAATTGGATCCATAAACATTGAAATGTGTGTCAGGATTGTTAAATAATACAGGTTACAAAATTTCTTGAAATTGTATGAAAATGAGTACATTTTGTTTAATTAAATGCGATTTGTTGCCACAACAGTGAATGCTTTACCTTCATTTTATTCTACGAAACATTTCAATTGCGTATTATCCAAGCTGTGATAAATTCTTTGAAGTAGAGTGGTTTTCCACACACGAAAATGTAAATAAACAAATTGAAATGTTTATGAATGATAATGGATCAAATGTTGTTGTGTTGAAAAGGAATCTATAATTATTTTTGAATGACTGTACCAATTTTGGGTTGAATTTGTTATATAATCGTTTTCCTCGAAACGACTAATATTGGGTTGGTTGGTGCATATATAATGATTGATAACCATCAATTTTAACGCTTTATACCTGATTCTTTTTTTGCACGGTGGATATGTTCCAAGGACCGCCGTGTAAAAAAAGACATAATTTCGTTTTTATTTATTTATATTTTATAGAAATAAACAATACAGTGGAACCTCGCTTAACGAATTTAATCCGTTCCAAAATTGCCGGATTTTTACTCGTAGAGTGAAACATATTCAAAAATACACATAACATGTGTAAACAAGTTTTAAAAGTGATGTAATAGACGTGCGATCCGGGACTTCTCTTCTCATCATCACTCGTTATGCGTCATTTTTCTTACATTTCATTTTGCTCGTTAAGTGAGGTTTTACTGTATTTAAAAATGTAAGCAACAAAACATATTCGTTTAAAAAAGTAGAAATAAGAAAGTATTAAAAAAAATATCAACTGTGCAAAATTAGAATCAGGTATAATTTTGTAACTTTTATTGTAGCACAAAGTTTTTTTTTTAATTGCACCAATCTATATAGAATTGTAATTGTTTCCTAACCTTCAATACATCAAGGTCCCAAAATTGCGTAATACATGATATTAATATGATTAAAATATGTTATTTCCGATTCAAATAAGACTATTTTTTTAATTAATTAAAATGATAAGTGATAAAAAAAATGATTATACTTATTTATTACTTATTGATTGTCTTATCTTTATGCGTATATTGCACGAATTGGAAGTGGGTGAATAATTAGTTTCAACGTTTCCGATATACTGTTAGCAAATATCTAAAGTTTCAGTCTAATAATACCGAGTGTGGTTTCAACGCGAACTAAGTATCGATTATCAAATAGCAGTTACGAAGTAAATAATTTTAAGAGAACTTTTGTATCCAACGATAACTGACGCTCCAGACATCCCGGGATAAATATTAGCAGGAAGATCAGACATTCGTAATCATTATTGGGGGACTGGGTAAATATTGATTGACTCGAGGTGTCTGATTACTTTCGATTTAAATTACAACGCTACAAATTCGCTGAAAACAGATGCTATTTTCAGATGAACTGCATCGCTTTTCCTGTTTTGCAGAATGCAACCACAAACTGGATGCATCCGACTGTCCTCTATATAAATATATATGTATGTATATATAACGTGCTTGGTATCTCCCTCGTAAACAAATCAATTAATTTCGCTTTTTATCTATTTTGTTTTTGTCGATAATAATAAAATTACCATACCGAGTTGGTTGGAGGATGATAAATTTATAATTTTATCGATGCCATTGTTTTTCTTCTGCTTTGTTTGATGGCTAGTTCATTGCTGTTTTGCTGTCCTCCAAGAAACAGGTACCAATAGACTCCATTAACACGATGATGGGATTTTATAATCATTAGTCCGGTCCATCATGTTCTTTCATAATGTGCAGTTTAAATAAATTTAGAAGTGAACATTTCACATGGTGAAAGATTTTAATAATTACTTTGATACCTCGTGTATTTCTAATGTGTTCAGTTTAAATTACATTTATTTAGGTGAGTTTAGAAGTACTTCATCATAATATAATGATCTTTCAGTAATAGTGTGAACAAATACTCCTAGCAATTATAAACCTTGTAACAAAATCTATTGTATTTTCTATTTGCATTGTCTGTAATGCAAAATGTAATTATTCATCATTTGACTTAAAATAAATCGATGACTAAATAATCCTACGTTGAATCAAATTGATATTAAGATGTTAATAATTATATTTTACAGTTCGGCAGACTGAATAAGAAATTGCTTCAATTAAAAATTAGAAATTGCTCCCGAAGTGCATTAACCAAATTAATAATTAGTGCAAAACCTTCCATGATGTCATTAAAACAAATATTGCCTGCGTGCACCTAAGCTGGTATTAAAATGATTCGTCATAGCTGAGAAAATCCTACGAAAATATTCTATTCTCCTAACGTAGTGCCTTGAAAAAATACATGTTTTTTTTTGTTTCTTTCGATGTAAAATCATCGCTGCAATCGTTGAAGGCGATATCAAGACCATCAATGATACTTCGGTGCAACATGACATCAGCAATGCCTATTCTTTACGGAAATAATAAAAAAACAACTCCATTAAACGTACTTGCATTTAACAATTGTTTAATAATAGCCGTGTGCTAAATGAAATCCAATGAAAACCAATATACAAGCAGTCGATGGACTCGCGGTCTTACGCAACCGGAGATAGGGATTGCATTACGTTACCGTTCCAATGGTGCGGAGACAATTTCGATTGTGCAACAAATATTTTTTGCGTAAATGGGCCGAGCGCCACCGACGAATCAATCAATAAAATAAAAACACGTGTGTGTGTGCAGTTTTGGTCATAGGTCTGGGATGCGTCTGCATTTATTTGCAAATGAATGCAGGAAAAGATGTACGTGTGATATAAGCGAAGGAAAATACGCTTCGGCGTCGATTGCGAGACTGAAAATCCATTAGTTGAATCAGGGTCGTGGCTCCAGCAAGGTTAAGAACCACTTGTTCGGATCGTTAGTCCAGCGCGTTTCTTATTCGGTTTACTATTTCCGTTGTTATCAATGCCGCAATTTGAATACAAGAAGATAACCGAAATTCTTGTTACCTAGGTCAGTATATTTTATAAGAAATACTAAATAAATATCCGAGTGGCGCAGCTCGCTTTGAATTCAAGATAATTATGAGCTATTCAAAATTTTAACAAACTTTTTTTGTTTTAATTTCTTGACAATTTTAGTTTCTTTTCTCGCAATTTATGTACATTATATTACGTAATATTACTGTTTATTTTGCAGGCTCAAATGCGGTTTTCATACAATAGTAATATTAAATGCATATAACGTAAAACATTGCTGCGTTGATGTACCAATTAGAGAAGTAATTATATAATTCGGTTGTTTGATGTTAATTAAATTTGGGGGTTTACGGAAATCGAAAAATTGCATGGAAGCGCTGGAGGGTGTTTGCAACAGTGGATATCAAGTGCAGTAGTGTACGCGTTTGTTTTGTTTTAGAGAGGGTTGTTTGTTGTGGTTGGTTTGCGTGGGAGGCGTGTACGAAAAAAAAATAGAGAATGCATCTGGATTCGAATTGAGATCCTTATTTTCATCCTGTTCATATTTCCCCTCTAGATTGAAAATGGGAACGATGGAGGCGGCGTTCTGGGAAATTGTTGCTGCGTTTTTGTGGATGAAAAAATATTGTGCATATGCAAATGACGTCAGGAATTACAAACGACGTACGGGAAACACATTCGAACCTGCTACGCCTGTAAACAATGGGTTTAATTTGCGTTTTCGAAACATTCCATTCGCACATCTCTCGCACTTCGCTGTTTTCTTTTAATGTACCATCGGTCCGTTAATATTCGCTCTCGCCTTTTTCGTTCCGTTTTTTGTTATTTATTTTGTCTCTCTTTTTATAACCGTGCCCGCCGCCACTATTCATTTCCCCCCAACTGTTGCGTAACAACATTGGTTATCTGTTGGGTGGCGATTGGTTGAGGACGAGTGGCGGTGAAACCCGATTGGCCTTCAGATCCACCCCCGCCGGCGCATCTGTGGTCCCTCCGATTCGCCGGCCGCCAAACGCGAAATCTGCACAAAAAAAACATACAACCCCGCCACCCCCTATCGCTGGCTTGGTTACCGGTCATAAATTCCGTGATCTGCATACGCGAACAGTTCCAATTCGGCTCCGAATCATCTCAAATTAAGACAAACAGAAATAAACAAAAAAAATCTGCCCAACAAGATGGTCCGCATATCGCCCAGAGGTAAATTATATTCCCTAAAACAAAAAAAAAACAAATTATATTTATGTACGTTCCATTATTATTTTATTACGCATGGAAATTTTATTGTTGTTGCAATGAAATATCAGTTATTTGTTTATGATCTATTCCTCTCTATCAATATGTATTGTTGTCTTTGGTGTTTCCACCCCTACTACTCTTTCTCTGTGTTATCTTTCCTTCTTCGCTCTGTGACCTTAGTCATATAAGCTTTTGGTCTTGTATATTGAAGAATGTTTTTTTGTTTGTTTGTGTTTTGCTTGTATCGACGGTTTCCAATGTATCACAATTACTCACCTGAAAACAATGATTCAGTTATAGTTGATATTAGAAAAAGATCTGTACTATCGGTAGATGGTATCCTTGGTGTTCTATTGAATTCGCGCAGTAGTGTTTCGACAACCTCGTCGAGCAATTGTTCACTTCCATTGTGTGAGTGAAGTAAAGTGAATCTTTGGAAACCGTCATGTATTTTAAAATTTTTGGTGAGTGGAGAACGTGGATGTACTTTGGTGACTATTTTGTTTTCTTATATGTTATAGGTATGGGGATACCATGTGCTACAAATTGCAAGTTGCAATGTGCACTGTTCATCATAGGCTTGCTGTCGCTGGTGTACGTGCTGTACAACGCTTCGCCACAGTTGATAGTGGCACCCCAGGCACCCCAGGCTCACGTCATGCTCAATATATCAAATACCATGGCTGTAACCACACATAATGCCTCCCTTCTAACTGGGAAGAATGCAACTACGGTGTCGGAGGCGGCTCCAGCCGGGGTTCAGCAACCTCACCAGGACCTCACAAGAGGTGTGCCGGCGGAGTTCATCTACGAGGCCGGCCACGTTGGCTTCAATTCAGACATCTGTCCAGATCTGGGAAAGAACCTACAGCTGTTGATCGCCATCACCTCCGCGCCCAGCCACCAGAGTTCGAGAATGGCCATCCGGCAGACCTGGGGTCACTATGGCTCTCGACGGGACGTGGCCATCACCTTCATGTTAGGCACCACTTCCAACCAAACGCTTATCGACCAAATAAAGGAGGAAGAGTTCTTGTATGGTGACATCATCACCGGCAAATTCATAGACACTTACGACAACCTAACGTTGAAAACGATTTCGATGCTGGAATGGGTGGATAACTACTGTCCAAAAGCGTCGTTCGTACTTAAGACTGATGACGACATGTTCATCAACGTCTCCCGACTACTGGCGTTCATCGGGAAGCACAAGCCGGAGCAGAGGAACATCTACGGTCGTCTGGCTAAAAAGTGGAAGCCTATTAGGAATAAGAAATCCAAGTATTATATATCGCCCCAGCAGTATAAGCCCGCCGTATTTCCGGACTTCACCACCGGTCCAGCTTATCTGCTGCCGGCTCGCTTAGCGAAGGAACTCTACACCGCAGCTCTGAATCATACTTATTTCAAGTTGGAGGATGTCTTCGTGACCGGCATCGTCGCCAACAGCTTGAAGATCAAGCGCGTCCATGCCCCGGAATTCCTAAACAAACGCGTATCCTTGACACCCTGCGCAGTACAGAGAGGGATCAGCATACACATGGTCAAAGGTGCTGAGCAGTACGATTTATGGAAGAAATTACTAGACGGTTTGGCGAAATGTAAATAAATTGGATACTAGTCATTCCAGTATTTAATCACTAATCTCCTTCATGTTAACGAATTCATGTAGAGAATGTTCCAAATATAATCTTCCATTAAATGTGTATCAGCCCCGGGCGGCACCCATCCCTAATGTAAATACTCAAGAGACTATATGTGACTAAAAGAAACGAAATGAAATACAGCCGAATAATTTATTTATTTCAAGCCCATGTTCTCTCTATCATTATAATTTTTGTTTTGTATTTGCATGCTGGATTTACATCCCTTCCTGAGGTGAATTCTCGAATCCAGCATTAGGCTGTGCTAATAAATATATTCTCGATTTTTCTCAATACCTCTCAACAATGACATTACCTCCTTTGAAAGACGAATAAACAAATTAAATTTGCTTCACAGTTCCTTTACCGTAACTATTATGGTGTTTTATGATTTATTTTATATTTTTGTTTGTTAAGTATCCTCTTTATCATTTTATTCAGTTAATGGGATTGTTTACTTTTAATCTTATGTTTCGCTGCGGATGTATTTATGTACTTATTATAATTTCTAAAGGTATCTAAAGAGAATCAAAAAGGAAAACAAGAAAAAATATTAATAATAAAGTAGTCTTTTTATTTTATATGTTTTTTTTCTTCTTCTTTATTACTTTTATGCATATCAAGAAAAATAAACTGATGGAAAAGAAAACATAGTAATAAAGCATTTGAATTCAGTGTAAATAAGTTATGTAGAAAATAATTTTTTATAACCTATATAGTTTAAAATTAATAAAATATTGTAAATAGTAAACATAAATATATACATATATATATAAATATATATATTTCATATGTATACATAAATACATACGTATATAAGAACAATTTTAACAAATTTTTAAGGTGTTAGTGTGAATTTACTACTGGATTTCATCCAAAACCTGGGGTACGAACGACCTGACTTCTTCCAAAACTAGCTCTAAAAACAGGATTTAATTACTATTTAACATAGTCATAGCATAGTACAAGCACTTACCTCTCCATTCATCAGCAGCGTGTTCCATGTCCTCAATACTCTGATCGTAAGACCCGGATATCGGTTCATCGTTTGGATCAGCATACTGTTCCAAATAAGGATGAGCTAAAGCTCTTTCGGCGGTGATACGCTTATCGCTATCCAATTCCAGCATCTTCGACAACAAATCGATGGCCTGCAAGTTTGCTCCTTGGAAGACCTGTTTCAAATCCTTCTTAGGTGTTGCTGGTAATGCTCTGATGTAATTACGAGCCTAAGAACCAAACGTATTAATCAAAAGAACTAACGTGGCAATTATTATCTGCTTACACTCTCCGATGTTATCTTTGCCATGAATTCTTCCCCTGGAGTACCCAAAATCTCCATTATTAAATTCAGTTGGTGTATATCTATACAAATAATTAAGGAAAAAAGAATGATTCTCATCTAAAAACAGTAAATCATTAGAAATACACATTGTCGTGAAGGATACGATCTGTTCCGGGGAATAAAGTGTGGGATGTAAGTAGTTCAGCCATGATGCAGCCGACAGACCAGATGTCGACGGTCTGGTTGTAATGCATCCAGTTTAACATGATCTCTGGAGCCCTATACCACCTGGTAGCAACGTACCCGGTCATCTCCGTTTCTGTAGGCCTAGCCAAACCGAAATCCAGGATTTTCAATTCGCAATCTTCGTTGACTGCAATGTTGGACGGTTTCAGGTCCTGCAAAAAAATATGATTAGTTTGGGCAGCGACCTAGGTCATCTGATATTACCCGGTGAATGACGCCTGCCGAATGTATGTATTTAAGGCCTCTAAGAATTTGGTAGACTAAAAACTGGACATGATCATCAGTAAGTCGCTGTGTTCTTATGATGTTGTTCAAATCTGCGCCCATCAGGTGAGTTACTAGATATATCTAAAATATCACAAATATTTGATTACTGTTATTACATGTATTGTAGCAATAATGCTGCCAGTAACAGCCAGCATAATTAATATAAATTTCATATTTAAAGTTTAATATGGTGGTTAAATTATTTTAATTGACATCCTTAAGCAATATATATGAATTGTGTTTCATTTAAATGATGTTATTGTTTATAATTCATGATTTATTAATATATTGTTGATGGTATGTTTATAAAGTATTATTGTACATGATGTAAATATTTTCTATTGTTCAATTAAATGTTGTAGTTTCTTATTTGGATTATAGTGTAAACATATTGAAATAGTATATTATTTTCAACGATATTGTTGTGTCTTCTGATAGTGGAGTGAGTCCATTGTATTATTTGTTTACTACCATAAATTTACATATCTATACAAGAAATATCGTGAATAACAATATATTGTATAGTATAATAAACCTTATATACACTATAGTATGCGTTTACAGCAAGGGTTTCCAAACTTTTTCGGTTTGCGGCGTCCTTAATATATCAGAATTTTTCCGCGGCGCCCTAATTCAAAACATTGGTCTATCTTAGGGCGCACAGTTTGGGAACCCCTGGTTTATAGTATAGGTCTTAAATATATAGGAAACGTATCAAAATCTAACAGTAAATATCTAGATTCATGATAGTTCTTAGTATCAATTTAATGATCCTTTAGAATTAAAAATGGTAGGCAACCCACTAGATGTATTATGGGCAGTCTACCATAGATGTCATGTGCTGGCAACATACATTTTTCTGCAATTGCAATGAGAAAGTAGGTGAAATTTGCATAATTCATGTGTATTGCGAAAGACCCCAATGGCCGAGTAAAGTTTGTTGTTTTGGCTGAGCATGCAGAATGGTTGTTCATGTTCATACAGAGCAATCCTGCAGTAAACAAATAGTTCCAAATGTATGCCGCGGGCATGTCCGCGAAACGTTTCAATCCCAATTCCGAGATAAGATTACCTGATTGGTGTCGTTGTGTGGGTAGAAGACATCAAGTAGACTAATAACATTCTCATGTTTCATGTGTTTCAAAAGTTTCAGCTCCCTGTATGTACGTTTGGCATGGACAGCAGATTGAAATGGACGGGCTAACTTTTTAATTGCTACTTTGGTGTTGGTATGTGTATCCATCGCTGAACTAGGGGCATATATATAGCGCAATCAGGGGTTGAAGCTGTGGACTGTGCAAAAATTTCAAAAGCACATACCAGACTTGTCCATAAGCGCCAGAACCGACAGCTGAGAGGGTCTGATACCTTTCAGGTACCTCCCAGACCGTTCTGTTCACCTCAACCTTCTGGAACACCATTTTGTGGGGATTCATTTCGGCTGATCTAGAGGTGACTCGTTATCAATTCCTTTGCGATAATAAACAAACACTATTGAGGTTAATCATTTAACGTAGGTGTCTAGGAGCAATTGAAGTTGAAGAATCGTCGCGCAATTCCGACAGCACACTCACACACCACACAAGTGAACTAACATAAGCGACACTGGCGTCACGAAACGGGAAGGGAATCGATTCGAAACACATGAGACGAGTCCGCGCGCACCAGTTCAAAAAAATAATAATCGTATTAATTCACATAGAAAAACATAGATATCAGTGACCATTGATCATCAGCCTGCCCTTAAAATAGGCCTTAAACCTAGTGCATCGATGTAATGTATTATAAAGCTTAAAAAGTTTGGAGAACAGGCTAAATACAGACCCTTCACAATAAGCTTGCATTCCTAAGTAATTTGAGTTTTTCCATAGAACGTTTACAATAAATTTAATTACATTTTTAAATTAGAACGTTAAAAATAGTATTATTACAAAACGCAATTATAAAAGATTAAAGAAGTAATAATACATTTTGATTATACAGTATTTCTTCATTATGTCAAAATAACGCTTTTACAATATAAGTTTTCAGTTGAAGATTGGATTGTAGATTTTTTTCTAGAACATGTGAATCATATCCATTTATATTTGGAATGTCGCGCGCGCTACAATTAAACAAAGTTTGAAATCCTTTTTCCTATGCTAGGTGTTATTTTTCACGTCTGTGTCGGAACTGACAACAAAGTTATTGCGTTATCTTGGCAGATGGTGCAGAAGACACAACTATTATTATTTTTGTGAAACATCTTGTCTCGCGTGAATCATGTAGCATTCTGTATACATATATTTATATATAATGTGCGAATTGCGTCTAAAAACTATTCCATTGCATAAAGGCCAAAGACCCAAGTACCAAAATAAGCTGATGCAAATTAAAGTACTATCACAGCGAGCAGAGGACACGCTACTTTTAAATACACGAATAAATAAACACGTAAACGAGTGGAAGCAGACATGAAATCAATGGAAAATTAAGGATGTGCGATCTATTCTAATTAGTTAATTAAACAACAAACGCTCATTGCATCGTGGTACGAATATGTTAGATTGGAACAAATGCACTTGGTTATGGAAAAGTAGGATCTTCGTGAATACTAACAATTCTGTTTGCTTGTCCAATTAGGCATACGGAGATAAGGATGAGTTTCGGGGTCGCCTCTGTTGATGATTAAACTCTGATCTGGGTTTCGGTGCTCGGTATTTTAATGTTTTGTGAGTGTAAACCTGTTCCGAGTGGGTGTGTTTAGCTGCACGTAGCAGAATAAAAAAAAGTACTCTCTATTTGCTTTTTCGCTCCTTCATTTCATTTCGTCTTATTTTATTTTTGCTGCTTCGTTCCTTTCCCATTGGAATTACTTATGCAAGGTAATACATGGGTGCATGCATGTGCGACCATATGACTAGACCGAAGTATAATTATCACGCAACAGAATTTATACTGATGCCAAAACCGATTCGCTTACGCCATTGTTCATGGCCAATGTCTCTTGCAGGGAAAGAAGAGCAAGAAACAAGAAAATCAAATTGAGCACATTGCTTTCTCCTGATGCCTAATCGACCGTGGGATTTATACTCGGCCTAGTTATATAATTAGTACTTTTACAGGCAATAACTCACAGGCACGTGTAAACAGTCGCATTTTTTTTTTAAAGCTTGACCCAAGCTAACTCCATATCCCATGGAACCACAACCAATGTTTCATCGCTTATCTCCCTTTATTATTATTTACTCGCAAAATACTTCATTACCAGCTTACTGATTAGATTACTGCGACAATAGAGATAAAAAACATGTTTCTTTTTTTTTTGTCCTAAACCTCTGGTTTAATGTGATCCGTTAGACCTGTAAGCCTTATCTAAAATATTTGTCTTAAATATCTTTAGATTTGTTTAATAAGAGATATACTTTGTTGATGCTATTTGTGTATACATAGTAGTACTTGAAGTAATATATTCCAAAAATAGTTAAGAAAAATTATATGGATAACCTTAGGTTAAATGCTAAACTGAAGATAAGTTATGTATTCATATTTTAACAATAACAAAATATACTATTATTTATGAAAATTATCAATATTATTATTTTTTAGTTAATGATCCATTTTTTTGTATTACTTAAAATAAAGTATTTTATTAATTTAAGATTATTTATGTTGTTTTTAAAGAAAATATGTAAATATAAATTGTGTTGTTTTAAACAAAATATGAATCAGTAGTTGTTTCAATACTTCATAGTTAAAAATAGATTTATTCAAATTGTAATTATTTAATGTTATTTTGATTTATCAAAAATAACTGATAAAAAAGACATCATTTTCAATAACATTAAATGATTTCAAAATGAATAAATCTATTTTTAACTATGAATTATTGAAACAACAACTGATTCATATTCTCTTTAAAACAACAAAATTTATAGAAAAAATGAAGGAAAATAATAATAATAGTTCTGAATATGTTAGAACGATATAATTACTGTTTATATTATATTTATATCTATATATATTTGAAATATAACTCGTTTTAATTAATCATTGTAAAAGATACGCGAAATTTAAGTATAAGAAATGAATGACGTTATATTTGTATTCTCCAGTGAAGGAAAGCACACAGTATTGATTTATTAAATCATGACACTTGAATCGATTTAGTTTTTTGTAAATATTTATATTTCCTTATAATTATTATATAATTATTCTAATTATTTTTTTTTAATTATTAAAACCATACATCCAAATCATAATGAATTTGATTCGATTTTACGTATTTTATATTTGTTTTTTATTAATAACGTCCTCTTCAAGTTTTTTACGTTTCAAGTTTTAATAATTATTAAAGAGTTTTCCTTTTCGTTCCACATAAATTTTAACACGAAAAAAGTAAATCTCACACATCATTTTCAATTTCCTAATTAATTTTATCAAGATTGTATCTTTAACTACCTTTAAATTTACCTACCTTTTGCTATAATTTGCTATCTACTAGAAATACTGATATTCCTCAATCCGTACTTTCTCCATTAGTACCAAATGCATTTGTTGGCAATTTAACAATGTATGGTACCAAATTTCAATTTACCATTTTGCTTGTGGTTGTTCTTGGGATTTCCTGAAGGAACAGCTTCTGCGGTTTATGAGTCTTCAATATATTGATTTCTTGTAAGTACGTTTAATTTTTTTTACCAAGAACAAAAAATAGAGAATAACCAAAGAAACTGTAACTTCTTTACCCATAATTCGTGGTATTTTAGTGACTTTATATTATTTTACCCGATAACTTATCACTGAAATACATTAAATTATTATATGATAACAACAACATCGAAAGCTGATAATGAAAAAAACTAATCGCAGATCCTAAAATTAATTAAAAGTACATTGCTAAAAAGGATAACATAATGTTTAGCTTAAGCCTAATCCTGAAAGAGATCTTCCAAAACATCGAAAATGAGTAAAATGTAAAACACCTCGGCAATGAAGAAGTTTTCGAAGGATGTATTAGCCAGATTGGAGAAGAAAACAAGGTTGAGAATGATGAACCTGGTTTTGATGAAATCATATATTGTTGCGGCTAGCAACAGAGCAAACGAAATGCTGGATTGTATGAGGCAGATGACTTCTACGGACCACATGAAGAACAGCTGGATTGGTCGTCCTTTGGGATAGATATCTAGGAGTCACAAATTATGCAATACTAGTTTAGATATAACATATAAACATTAACATGTAAAATTATTGATTTTACCCAATTCACGTCTTCCATTTGGTTTACTAATGTCTTTCCTTATCCATCTCGTAATAGCAATTACAAATTTTCGGTAAAACAAAATTGAAGGTGAATTGGATATTAACAATTATGAAACAACCATGCAAACAAAAAAACACCTAATAACCTTTTTAGGATACTTGTAAAATGTTCCCGCTCTTCTAATCTAGATCTCTAATTGCACTAATGTATGCAGATGGGGTGTGTACAAATTAAAAATCGATGATGCACTAGTTGTATGAAGTATGTCATAATATTATTCCGGAAAATAACAGAAACCTTTAAAACCAATAAAACCCTAGGTTACCCTTGCTTAACGTCGAAATGAACCTGCACTGACGTCAGCAAAAAAATAGCACTATTTTCGGTGCAAAATTCAATACATCAAGAGGACAACGTTAAGCAAGGTCAAAGGTTGAATAGATGTGAGTGAATTTATACAGGGTATGATTATTTTTAAGAAGCGTTTATTTATTGCAAAGTATCCATAAAAAGTTACTATTCTAATGCACAACATAATATAGTCGGTCCAAGCTGTCTCAGATATTATTAAATTACATTTAGTACACAACATACATTATAATTTATATCCTAATTAACATCCAATAATATTATATATTAACTCTAATAATTCCATGGAATTAACAGGATTTAATCCTTTCTCCATGGAATTATCTAATTACTTTTGTTTACATTGAATCTACAGGTCTTATAACTTATTGAATATATTAAATTTCTTTATTCGAGCTTCAATTTTCATACTTCGAGTTGATGTAATCAAATTGCGGAATCGAGGTTACATAGACTTAAGAATACTGATCTTAATACTATTAATATTATATAGATTAAAGAACAAACATCAATTATTTAGACACATATATATTCTATACATTTATCTTATATAATTAAGTTTATATTTGGTATTTAGCTTCACTTAATTTAATAATACATCAAGTTTATTTCAGACATTTAGTTAATACTATTTTTCACTACGACTATTTTAAGTATTAGTAACATCGATTCTCACAACATTTAGGCTTCGCTAAGTAAAGGACCGCTATTTCTTAACTAAATATAATAATTTGAAACGAAAATATGCAGATCTGCTTGAAGTCGTATGTGCTTACCTATAAAAATATGAAATATATTTAGTATTTTAATTGATATCTAAAGTATTTATTTACTCACAAGATTATGTAACGCATACTTGTAGCGATTTCCACCTTGGCGTCGAGTTCCGCTTGAACCCCTGGTTTATCATAGAAGACCAACAGATATTTGATTCTCATGTGACTAAAATCGTTGGTCTTATAGAACGGCATGCATTTATATTCAGTGACTAATGGCCTATCATCATCTTCGGTAATGATTTCAACGACGAAAACAATGCAGAGACTCTTGTAAGTCTTGGTCAGTGGCCAAGTCGCTTGCATCGGAGCGTTCTTACGAGCACCCAGAAGGTCCTTGCAAATCCAGAATCCATTAGAGTAGATGTCATTAGGCTGCAAAAGAAGAAGTTACTAATAGTTGAAAAATGCAAATAAATATATCAAGCGTTACATCATTGAAGTTCATAAATGCACCCAGTCCCTTGGACAAGATAGAATGAACGTGACTCAAAGAAGTACCATGGTAACCAAAATATAAACTCTCTCCTATGATCGAGTGTAACCAGTCGTATTCCCGTTTCTTAGCATAGTGTACGCGGAATACCAGATCTGGTTTGCATATAGCAAACTGGCTGTGTAAATACTGGTTGCCGACACTTTCCTGTAATGAAAAATAATTAGAAAAGATAATAAACTGATTTTCATGATACAAACAATCGTCACGTGCTGCAATTCTTTCTCTAAATCTTGATTGACAATCCAATCTAAAAGATAGTACTGATCACGTGGCAACCTATGCCAATCGATTTCATCAAAACTTGGCATTCTATTTAGTATGCGTTGCTGAAAATAAAAAAAATATTGTAGGACACATTATTTTCATAAAACCTGACTTACCATATTGAACTGTGCATATGAGTTTTGAGGATCAAAATATTCCGGGAACGGTTGCAATGCTGCAATAATGTGCTTAGTATTGACAGCTGCGAAAGCGGCACACATCTTAAAATCAGAAGCCACAGGTTGTCTCTCCATCCTTGATTTCAAATAGCCGACATCTTCGAACGGCTGATATGGGCTGATCTTAAATTCGTCTTGGGAGTCATCTGTATACCCGACAAGTTCACCGTTATCGTAGATCATATTATTAAACTGCATAGTTTCTGCATCATTGATGTTATATTCAGCGTCATTGGTAATATATTCTGTATCATTGGTGTTATATTCCGTATCATTGATGGTTTCTTGTGTATCATTGATGGTTTCCTCATCATCAATGGTTTCTTCATCATCGATGGTTTCCTCGTCATCGATGGTTTCCTGACCATCGATAGTTTCTTGATCATCGATAGTTTCCTGATCATCAATAGTTTCCAGATCATCGATGGTTTCCTGATCATCGTTGGTTTCCTCATCATCGATGGTTTCTC